CTTGCGCGTACTTGTCTGGTCAATCACCAGAACGTGCGCTCGCAAGGCGGAACACATCGCAGCCCCCGCAATGAGAAACATAGGCGGCATGACAAGACAGTCATGGATTCTTGGCATAGACGTATCGACCTAAATCTGAGACGCTACTGAGGTCTTGCGGCAACCCCCAGGATCGTGTGAAAAATGGTATTCTCGTTCTACGAGTGGATGATACAAGCTGAAGTATGGGGATGCCGATTCGACAATCGACCCACACAAATCATTGTTGCCGGTGGATTCCAGTGTTACCAGCATCGACCTTGTAGTCGTGCCACGGGCATTTCATCAACCATGTAGTTACGAAGATGCAATATTGATCCAAACTGCGGCTCGAAAGCCATCCCACGTCAGGATTTGTTCAGTGGAAGTCCAACCTGCGTAGGCACCAATACCGAAAGTCTTGAGTACCACAAGCGATGCACGGATTTCCGTGGCCCACAGCTATCTGCAAACAATTGCCATGGGTGCCTGCGTTTTGGTGTATTGCGAACTTGTCCGATTTCCAGCTGAACAACCGCGAATGTGTTCGCGGGAATGAAGTCATGCTGGCGTTTGAACCATCGGGCTCGACGTCGGGCTGAGCACTCGCGACGGAGCTGGAACGGGTGGTGGAGACGTCGCAGTCGCCTGAGTTGATCGAGTGTTAGAGCGAGCATAAGCAGCATATCCTTCGCCATCCTTCGCACCACTACACTCTGGTCGTTGTAAGTAGGTATTTTTGGATTCCCAGATCCCGATCTATTTCAAGCGCTTTCCGACTTCAAACATCGACATGCTTTTGTTGTGTTTTGTTGTTCTTTGGGAGGGCCTGGACCCAATCCACTATATCCGCCTTCCTACTTCATGTTTTTACCTACTTCGTCCGACCGACGTGTATAAGTGTGGCAAGTGGCCGCATTCGCCGCGCGCATATCACCCCCTCTCGGCACGATTGGCTTCAGTGGAAGGTTCAGCACGGGTTGCCCGCTCATGTCCGCCTCCTCCTCCTCCTCCTCCTCCTCCTCCTCCCTGCTATCCCTCCTGCCCTCCTGCCTTCTTCCTCTTCTCCTCTTTCTCCTGTCCTCTTTTCTCATCGCGTTGCTCGTCTTTCCCACTGGCAGAACATGCAACCGGCAATCTTAACTCGTGTCTCTGCGAATGCGGCCTCGCCCCCCTCTCCGCATCGCTCCGTCCATTCATTCACCTCTGTGCTGTGACGTTACGCTTCTCCGTTGTAGAGCCAGAGCGCGCGCGAAGCGCGCGTGATTTTGGTGGTGTCCGGCTCCCCGGGCACATGCGCAGCATTCGTGTCCCCTCCGAATGTGACCAAGTTTCACCCTAGGAGGAGGAGGAGGAGGAGGAGGAGGAGGAGGAGGAGGAGGAGGAGGAGGAGGGGGAGGAGGAGGAGGAGGAGGAGGAGGAGCAGGAGGGGGGGGAGGAGGAGGAGGGGGACGAGGAGGAGGAGGAGGAGCAGGAGGAGGAGGAGGGGGAGGAGGAGGAGGAGGAGGGGGTCCGAGGCCCTTGTTCGGAGCCCTGGTGACTGCAAGGGGCGCCCACTGCCTGCACAAACTCAGACCTGCGAGCGGCCCCAGATACTTCGGGCGGCCGCGGATGGAGTCCAGACTTCTCTGTGCAGGCCGACATGGCCTGAAGACGGCCCGAGAGGCCCCCAAGACGCCCCAAGACAGTTCCAAGAGAGGCCCCAAGAGGGTCCCAAGAGGCAGTCAGCGTCCCAATCCAATTGGTATTCGCACGTGTTTGATATTTTCGTTGTTTGGCACTCTGTCGTGTCCAAGACAGTCAAAGAGGGCTCCAAAATCGTCCCAAGATGGCCCAGGAGGGGTCCAAGACGGCCCCAAGACGGCCCAACAGCGCCCCACGCAAGAGAGCCCTAATTAATGGTTCAGGGGCCCAAGAGGGGGGAAATCAAATCGACAGTTCAAGCGTTCCCCCCCAAGATGATCTTTTGTCTTCGGGTGTATGCAGTGGGGCTTGCGGATGCATGTTGAAGGCCGTGGGGGCTGCTCTTGGGAGCATGTGTAGGCCTCCTGGGAACCTCTTCAGATTTCGGTTTCGATTCCTCTCGCTTCGCGGGGTGCACGTCCGGAGCACGTAAAGATTGGGCGTCTGGTGGTTTTCCCTGCACGTCTGTCGCGCCGGTCTGCCGTGCCGTTCTGCCCGAACTGGGGCGCTGCCAACGCCATTGGGGCCTCTGGAGGGCCTGTGTAAGCTGCTCGGAGTATGTCCAGTCCAGTTCTTTGGAGACCTCTAGAGCCACTCCTGGGGGCTTCTTGGGAGCCTGTTGGAGGCTCCCTTGAGGGCCTCTGCGGAATTCCTGGAGGTCTCTTTGGGGTGTGTTGAACCGTCTTGGGTGTTTTTGGGTGGCCTTTTGGTGGCCTCTTGGGGGCCTCTTGGAGGCCTCTTGGGGCTTCTTGGGGGGCGTCTTGGGTTGTCTTGGGGCTCTCTTCCGCCGTTCGGCCCCTTCGGAGGCTGTCTTGGGGGCCTCTCGGGGCCGCCTTGGGGCGATCTTGGGGTCCTCATGGGCCGTCTTGGGGGCCTCCGGGACCGTCTTGGGGCCCTCTGATGGGCCATGTTGGGGTCCTATTGGGCTGTCTTTGGGTCCCCTTCTGCGCTTCCCGGGCCGGCTTGGGGCAATTTCGGAGGCTGCTTGGACCGCCATGGGCCTCTGAGAGTCTAGAAGGGCGAGAACGTTAAGATCCTTCAAGACCTAATGGAAAATCAATGATGTTGGCCTCTGGAGGCGCTCTTGGAGGTCCTCTTAGCGCGCGCTTGGGTCGTCTTGGAAGCTTTTTCAGCCCTCTTGGGGCCATCCTGGACAGTCTTGGGGGCGTTTTCGCCCGTCTTGAGGCCATCTAGAGCCGTCATGAGGCACTCTTGGGTACCCCAAGAGGGCGAACAGGCCGAAGGCATCGATTTTCTGTAGGTTTTGGTAGGTTTTTGGGCCCCGGGAGGAGGGGGGTCAGGTTGTGTCGACGGATGTGGGGTAGCGCTGTTGGGGGTTGGGGGGGAGACATAATAATGTAACGCAATGCAATATGCACCCATTATTGAAGAACGGGATACGTTGCAAGTGTACAATCTCTGGACACATTGGATACGTTGAATTGTTGCTTCCGAAGAAAGCGCTGCCGCTCAGCACGTCACTTCTGGACGTGGACTCTACAGGCCAACGCCACATCCGCCCTGGTGGCAGTCGCCCTGGTGGCAGTCGCTTCTCTTGGGAAGCCTCTTGGATAGGGGGCCACATGCGAACCCTACCCCTACCCCCCACGATTTCTGAGGGGGAGGGTGGGATTCACTTCGCTCTGGAGCTCCCGAACGAAGTGAACCCCACCCTCCCCCTCAGAAATCGTGGGGGGTAGGGGTAGGGTTCGCATGTGGCCCCCTGGTTGGGGCCCTCCAGGGCCGTCTTAGGGCCCTCTTGAAAGGTAGTTGGGCCGTCTTGGGGTGATCGTGGGGACCTCTCGGGCCGTCTCCGGCGCCGTGAAGATCAACAGGTGGACGTGCTAAAGATGTATGCTGTCCTCGTGGATCAGGGCTATGTTTGCTTCTTGTGGCCGTCTGGGAGCTTCTCTTGGAGCCATCATGGACGGTCTTTGTGTCCTCTTGAGCCGTCTGGAGACAAGCTTGAGCCGCCTGAGGTCGGTGCTGGAAACAATTTTGGGGCATCTTGGGCTCTAGGGTCGCGTTGTGGGCCGTCTCGGAGACCTCCGGGGCCATCTTGGGGACCTCTCCTGGACGCGCTCGCCCACAGGCTCGGCTGGGCTGCCCCCCGCCTTCGAACGCCGGGGTTTGAACCGCATGGCATCGCTCGGACGTGGGCATTTTTTCTCGGCGAGACCCATCGATCGGGTTGACCCAAAAGGGGTTCCAGCGACAAGGGGGTGATGCAATATATTTAGTGCAACCGATTTTTTGGGTTGCAATACATTTGGGGCGTGCAATACATTCCGGGGCGCAAATGTATTGCTGGTTTTTCGCGTGCAACACATTACTTGCAATACAATGCAATACAACTCTCCGGCGAAACACATTTGCAATACAATTGCCCCAAATCTATTGCACCACCCCATTCAGCTCGACCCCCTATTGAGCCACTCAAAATCGAGGACCATCCTGGACCATTGAGCAACAAAAACACGCACGAAACCGAAGCATGCAGAGGGAGTGGACGTCCGAGCGATGCCTGGTGGGGGGGGACGAAAGGGCGGGAAAGCTTTCCATACGCTTGAAGACCCACAAAGGGGTCGGCGGATTTCGAAATGATCCAGGTGCTGGAGTCGGAAGAGGGAGAGGAGAAAGAGGTGGACGAGGGGGAGGAGGAGGAGTACGGTGGAGAACGGGGATGGAGGAGAGAAGGGCGAAGAGGTAGGAGGCGACCGCGATTTACGTCGTATGGTTTCCCAGGCGCTCACGAGGGTTGTGGGGCATCTTGTGGGCCCTTGGGGCCGTCTTCGGTCCGCAGCGGGCTGCTTGAAGCTGATTTGGGCCGCTCAAAGGATTTCAGTGGCCATCTGAGGCGGGTCTAGAGACACTCTCGACTGTCCCAGGCAGCTCCCAGGAGATCCTGGGAGTTCCCCTCCACCTCTCAGGGCTGCAACCCCTCTACCTCTCAGGGCTGCTCCAGCTTCGTGGCACCCCGCTACGTGCTGAAGGCACGGTGGCGGATCTTGGCGAGCCTTGACAAATCGTGGGGAACTTGGTGCGAGCCGAGGAATCCACCGGAGTCTTGGAGATTTCCAGCAGTCCTGGAGAATAACGGAAAAAGACCCATGATGGGGTCCAGAATAACGTGACCAATTTTACAAAAAAAATTGGCATGAGCATTGCCGGACTCTGAGACCCAGACTGGGACTCGCCATCCCTGGGGGCCGTGGAGTGTGAAATTGCCGCCACTCTGGGCGGCTGCTGTGGGGGCCAGCACAGTGACGTCTTGCGCAAGAGGGCTGGCCCCGCCACAGGCCGAGGAGGAGGAGCAGCAGCGGCTGTACCTCGAGCAGCTCGAGGCCACGCGGCGAGCCGCCGCCCAGCGGCTCATGGCGGAGGCGCCCCCCCCCAACCACCCCTGCTGGCGCAGCGCGCGCTCGCCTCCTCCTCCTCCTCCTCCTCCTCCTGCTCCTCCTCCTCCTCCTCCTCCTCCTCCTCCTCATAATTCCCTTTCCTCCTCCTTCCTTCTCCTGTTGGCCCTCTCGGAGTCTAATGCGGTCCCTGACTCGACGGAGGTGTCCAGGTCGTTCTCAGCCTCAGGGGTTCCCTCATATGAGCAGCGCATGGCTGCCCTGATCGAGAGAATTCGTTTGAAGGAAGCCTCTGTGGGCCAGTAATTCCTGTCGTTTCGTTTTTGGTGCTGTGCACTTTCCCTTCGGGTCCTTCCATTCCATTCCTTCCTTCTCCTCCCTTCTCCTCCTCCTCCTCCTCCTCCTCCTCCTCCTCCTCCTCCTCCTCCTCCTCTTGTTCCTCCTCCCCCCTCCCTCCTCTCTTTATTTAGCACAGCTGGCTATGCTGGCGGGATGGCGATTCTGTTTCCTGCCAAAATCAGAAGTGTGGAGTTCTTCATCTCTGATTGACTTTGTGGTCGCCGCCGCGGTGGCGATTACCAGGCGCAGCTGGAATGGGCGTACAGATCGCCCGACTTCTCGATCGTGGTCCTCGGTGTCGACATCGCCCTGGACGCCGACAAGCACGACCTCTCTTTGGCCCGAGCACGTGCTGGCGAAGCGCATCGTTCTCACCCGGGGGCGCCCCCCTGCGAGACATGCCCCCCTGCGCGGTGGACCGAACGCCCTGGGCCGCCGCTTCTTCGCACGCACGAGGCCTTCTGGGGCACTTGTGCCGCTGCGGCCGGCGAGGCAGGCACGGCATCTCCGCATCGGCAACACGGTCTTGATGTCGCTGGCCGCCCTCCTGGGCCTGCACGCCCAGGTGGGCAGAAGCGCCTGGATGGAGCATCCGCAGCCCTGCGAGTATCGGGCCGGACGCAAGGGGGGGATTGGGCAGGGGGGGGGTCACAGAAATCTGCTGCGTGCAGCTGGTTGCGGCCCCGCCGAGGGGCCCCTTCCTCGATGCGTGGCCGCCTCCGGCGCCGGGAGGCGCCGGGAAAGTCAGCTACGTGAGCTGATTCTCAAACCCCCCCTTTGCCTTGGCATCGCTCGGACGTGTGCATTTTTCCTTCGGCGAGGGCCATCGAGGAGAATCCTTGATCATTTGGCGAAAACCACGCACGAAACCGAAAAGAACACAGGGAATGGACGTCCGAGCGATGGCCAGTTGCTATCCCCCCCTTCTCGCCCGGCCCGAGGGCGGGAGGCCCGAGCCCCGGAGCTCGTGCTCCCGGGCTCCCGTGGCAGGCGTGGCTGCCGGCGCGCGGCGCCGCCACCGCGGACGGCGACCAGGGCGAGCTCGGGCAGGCAGGTGGGGCCCGCACCCGCGTCCTGGGCCTCCTCGTGCATCAGAGCGTGAATTACCTACCCCGCTTTCGCTTGAGCAGACCAAAGCCATTCATTTTCCCTAAGTGTTTCATGGATGAGGCATTTGTTTCTTCTCGGCATTCCGACGGCTCAAGACGGCCCAAGAGGCCTCTTCCTCTTCCTCATCATGTTCATTCTCCCCCACGTGTTCCCCGAAAGCTTTCCGAACCGATTCGGGGAACATATGGTCCGATAGCTTGGCAGGCCTCTGGAAGGCAAAACCAAGTCATACCACGCGCCTCCTCGTCAAGCGGCCTGACCAGTACAGGCCGTAAGTTGGCATCGCTCGGTGTCTCTTGGAAGCGAGGGTGGGCAAAAGCGAGGTAGGTTTGTTTCCCCCTAATGTAGCATTGTGGAGGGCGAAAGTCAAGCAGTGGCGAAGCGTCCCGGCTCGCCTATAGCCCCACCAAGCAATGTTCTAAGAACCTTTGTTGTGGTTCCCACGAGATGTTCTCAGAACGTTTCTGGCTGGGACCGTTTTGTTTTACCACATCGGGTTTACGTTCTAAGAACATTGTTTGGTTCTTAGAACATTATGGGGTTCTAACAACAGTTCGTGGTATGACGACAGGAATGCCGGGACGGTCGGTCTCTGCTCAAGATAGGGGGCCACATGCGAACCCTACCCCCACCTCCCACGATTTCTGAGGGGGAGGATGGGGTTCACTTCATTCGGGAGCTCCCAAGCGCAGTAAACCCCACCCTCCCCCTCAGAAGTCGTGGGAGGTGGGAGTAGTGTTCGCATGCAGTCCCCTAGACGATCCATGGAGAGGAAGCATGTTGCCAAATAATTTCCAGGTGTCCAAAACATGTAAAACACATGCGAACAGTATGCTTAAAACGTGTTTAGAGCATTTTCCGACATGTTAAGCACACATTCAAATTCAAGGAGACGACTGTCAGGGTCTCGTGCCCATTGTTGTGGCATCCACAAATGTAGCAGTTCTTCACACATCTCACAGATACGCCCGGCCATGGGCGCTGCTCTCACGGCCGTAATGCCCACTCCGCCCTTCGAGGGTGCGACGCTGACAAGCAGGAGTGGCGCGCGGCCAAGAGGAATCTGCACCCCCCGCTGCTGTGCTCGGCCCTTGCCCAGTCCACGTGGCTTACAGTCCGAGCCCTGTGGGACCCTGATGACGCGCGCTACCTCGCTACCTTGATGACCTCCTTGACCCTGATGGTGCGCGAGACGAGCTCCTGGCATTCTATGTTGGCTGGGATCGTTGTGGGAGCCACGATGCCAGCTGGTCCCCTGCTTCGTGGACGCGGGAAGTCACGCGAGGCGCAGGCGATGTAATCCCGAGAAGCAGAGGTTCCCGACGACGACGATGCCGCTGACGACGTCGGCAACGCCCGCCGACGACGATGGCGGGGTCGTCGTTGTCGGCGGCGTCATTGTTGCCCGCGTCGTCGGCGTCGCCGTTGCAGTCGCCGTCGCCGTTGCCGTCGTCGCGTCCGCGGGCCGCATGGCGGCGGGGTCGGTCGAAATATCGGAAACAGCGTGTTCTGGCGTTGTTGGCAGACAACCGGGGGGGGTCACTGGGGGCTCCATCCCGTCCCCCCCCCGCCCTCCTCGAAAGCCGATTGGGGGGTCATTGGGGGCCCCGACGCCCACCCACCCCCCAGTCCATCATGGAAAGGGGTGGGTCACTCCTGGTTCCAACCCCCGCCTCCTTCGACACCCCCGTCCTCGCCGCCTGGTGAGGGCATCGGTGGGGAGAGTGGGGACAGTGGTGGAAGAGTGGGGACAGCGGGATAGGGGGGGACAGTGGGGACAGCGGGACAGTGGTGGGGATGGTGGTGGCGGGGACAGTGGCGAGGGGACACTGGGATAGTGGTGGGGCAGTGGGGACAGTGGGACAGTGGTGGGGCCGGTGGTGGTGGGGACAGTGGTGAGGGTGGTGGTGAGGAAGTTTGTGGGACAATGGGACGGTACTGTGGGGACAGTGGTGGGGACAGTGGGGACAGTGGTACAGCACCCTGGGACAGTGGGGACAGTAGGAAAGCGGCGGTGGGGACAGTGGGGACAGTGGGGCAGTGGTAGGGACAGTGGGACAGTGGGGCCGTGGTGGGGACAATGGCGGGGACAGTGGGGACACTGCGACAGTGGTGGGGGCACTGGTGGGTGCAGTGGGGACAATGGTGGGCACAGTGGGGACGGTGCGACAGTGGCGGAGACAGTGGGGACAGTGGGTCTTTTTTTTTTCCAAGGTCAGGCCTGTCGCAAGCAGCTAGGGCCGAGAGAGCGCCGAGGGGCGCTGGAGGGCGAATCAGGTGTCGAGGAGGCGGGAGCCCTTGCCCTTCGCCTTGCCCCCGAACGGGATCCCCTTGTCCTTGCCGATGCCCATGGACGGCTTACCGTTGGTGGCGTCCTCGGCCGTGGCAAGGTGCGCGGCGGTCCAGCCGAACTCCGAAGTCGTGAGCACGTAATGGGATCCAGCCATGCGCGAGGACGAGTTGGCGCCACACTCCGAAAGGATCTTCGCCGTGTGGGTGTCCGCCTTCATGATGTTGATGGCTCCGTTGTGGAACCGCGTGTTCTCCAGGATGGAGTCCGAGTTGAGGCCGCACTCCGAAAGGTTCTGCGCCTTGTGGATGTCCGCCTTCACGATGTCGCTCTTGCACATGATGTGGCACGCGTCCTCCTGCAGGAAGGCGTGCCTGGAGGTCGCACGGACGACGGTGTCGTCGTCGCCGTACCTGTTCTTGAGCTTCTCCTCGTGCAGGGTGCCACGCAAGGTGTAGCTCTCCTCCTCACTCAAAGCCACGTCGTCCGCAGCCTCTAGGGTCGAGTCCGAGTTGGCGCCACGCTCCGAAAGGATCTTCGTCGTGTGGATGTCCGCCTTCATGATGTCATCCTTGTTGCACATGATGTGGCACGCGTCCTCCTGCAGGGGTGTGTGCCTGGAGGTCGCGCCGAAGACGCTGTCCTCGTCCCCGTACTTGTTCTGGAGCTTCTCCTCGTGCAGGGTGCCGCGCATGGTGAGGCTCTCCTTCTCACTCGTAGCCGCGACGTCCGCAGCCTCTGTGAAGTACTCGTCCTTCGTAGTGATGTCGTTCTTGGTGGCTCCAGCGTGGAACCGAGTGTTCTCCAGGAGCGATTCCGAGTTGACGCCACGCTCCGAAAGGTTCTTCGCCGTGTGGACGTCCGCCTTAATGATGTCGTTCTTGTTGCACGTGATGTGGCACGCGTCCTCCTGCTGGAAGGTGTGCCTGGAGGTCGCATCGACGACGTTGTCCTCGTCCACGTACTTGTTCTGGAGCTTCTCCTCGTGCAGGGTGTCGCACATGATGAAGCTCTGCTTGTCGTTGTCCAGCTCGGGCCCCAGGTCGGAGCCAACCGAGCCTTCCGTGGAGACCTCCTCGATGCCGTTCTGCACGCCCAGGGTGGCCTCCGCTGTCGCCAGCCAGGCCTTGAGGCGGCAAAGAACATCGTGCGCGGCTCCAGGATGGCGAATGAGCGCCGACGCCCCGTCGAGGATCCGGCACTCCCGCTCGAGGTCCGACGGCGGCCGCACACCAGCGTCCCGGCGCTGCTGCCAGCCTTTGGCCAGCGTGCTGCCGCCCACCACGGCGACGAGCTCGGCGGCGGCACCAAGCACGTCGCGGGCGGCACCACCAAGCACCGGTAGTGGAACTTCGCCAGGAGCGGCTGGAAGAAGGGCGACGGGAGCCGCCGCCCGCTTCGTGACCACGGCCATCAAGTCCGCCGCTTCGCCGACAGACCGGGCCCACGCCACCGCTGCGCCATGCCGGACAGGGATTCCGCCTTGCTGCCGTGGCATGGGGACGAAGGGCGCGTCGGGAGCCCGGCGCGCCGTGTGCCGCTTGAGCCAAAATGGCTACGGACGTGGGGACAGTGGGTCTGTGGTGGGGACGGTGGTGGTGAGGAGAGTGGCGAGGGGACAGTGGGACAGTGGTGAGGGGACAGTGGGGACAGTGGGACAGTGGTGGGGACGGTGGTGGTGGGGACAGTGGTGAGGGCGGTGGTCAGGACGTTTGTGGGACAATGGGGCAGTGGTACAGTGGGCACAGTGGTGGGGACAACGAGGACAGTGGGACAGTGGTGGGAACAGCGCGGACAGTGGCACAACGCAGTTGGACAGCGGCGGGGACAGTAGGGACAGGGGGACAAGAGTGTGGACAGTGGGACCGTGGTGGGGACAGTTTGGACACTGGGGAGAGTGGGACCGTGGTGGGGGCAGTGGTGGGGACAGTGGGGGCAGTGCTACAGTGGTGGGGGCACTGGTGGGGACAGTGTCGGGAACACTGAGACAGTGGTGAGGACGGTGGTGGTGGGGACAGTGGTGAGAGCGGTAGTGAGGACGGTGGTGGGGACCCGGGAGTCGTTTGCCGGCGGCGAGTGTGGTGGGGGGGTGTCGAACCAGTAGTTCTCCCCCCTGGTTTTCCGAGGTGGGGCCCAGGGGAGGGGGATTCGAGCCTGTAGTGACCCCCCTCTGTTCCGAAGGGGGGTCGGCTTCGAATTGGTAGTGGCCCCGCTAGTTTTCCGGAAGGGAGGGAGGGGGGTTGCCAGGGGAGGAGGGGGGGGGTTCGAGCAGGGGTTGGGATTTTCGGAGGGGGGAGGGGACCCACGAGATCGGAGGAAGAGGAGGCGGAATTTTCCACAGCAGCGCGGCGGTGGATCACGATCTCTCAAATATCGGGAGGGCCGCCCTGGGCATTTTTCGGGGACGTCCCCGTCGACGGAGCACCGTGGACGGAATTTTCGGAAAATCGAATTGTTCAGTGGACGCACCCCTCACGAGGATCGAATTCTCTGATTCTTGCGCGGGTTATTTTTCGGCGGACCCCTGTCCACGGAGGACGGGGTTCCCCCTCTGGACGGCGCAACATTCCAGCCCCCCGACCCCCCCCCTACGAAAAAAACAACGCCTCAAGAAATCGAGGGGGCGGCGACGTCTTCCTTGGAGCTGCTGTCCGAGGCGCCGGTGGGCGCGTCGAAGATCGCGCGCTGTCAACCTGGCCAATCAATTTGGCCGATCAACTCGGCCGATCAACTCGGCCGACTAACTCGGCTGATCATCTCGGCCCATCATTTCGGACGATCATTTTGGCCGATCAACTCGGCCTATCAAGTCGGCCGATGAAATCAGCCGATCAACTCGGCCGCCGATCACTTCGGCAACTCGCCCGGTCCACTTGGTCGTTTATTTTGCGCGGCCAGCTCGGGGGGGGTCATCTCGGGCTGTCAACTAGGGCGCGGGCGCCCACGCGCGCAGCGGGTGCCTGGGCGCCTCCGCCCACGCACGCCGCGGGCGCATGGGTTCGCCCCGCCCGCGCTCGCGGTGGGAGCCCGAACGATTACATTCAGAGCTTCGCAGACCAATGAACATCGCTTGGCCCGGTCCAGAGTTTCCCGGGCCCGTTCGGTTTTGGGCGATCCAACATCGCCCAGGCGATCGATGCTTCGGTCGGCCCAGAGCCTCCCAGACCTTTGCGCTTCGTTCGATCCAGAGCCTGCTCGACCCTTGCCCTGGGACACTTTGGTTGTTGGGGTCTACGCAAATCGCTCGGCTGGCGCAGAAGCACGATGCGCCCTTCGCTGTTCCATCGCAAGAATCGCTCGCGCACTGTGCGTGTTAGGAGTGCAGCGCAGTGCGCGTCGCCTAAATCGCTTGGCTGACGCCGAGACAGGGGAAGCCCTGGCAGTCGAAGTTCACAACGACCGTTCGGCTGACGCCGAGGCAGCCGCTCGGCCAACACGCCTCCACGCCGCCGCGCGCGCGGCGGCGCTGAACCGATGTGCGTGGAGACATGCAACGGGGGCGGCCTCTGCGCCGCCGCTCGCGCGGCGGCGCGAGGCCGTCGCGCGTGAAACAATCGCGCCGCGCGCGGTTTCTGCGACGCCGCGCGAAGGGGGCGCCGTGCCGTCGCGCGCGGAGAAAGGTAATGGAGGCGACTCTTGCGCCGCCGTGCGCGCGGCGGCGATGGGCCGTCGCGCGCGGGGCAATTGCGACGCGACCAGCCCCTGCGCCGCCGCGCGAGCAGCGTCGCTGGGCCGTCGAGCGTTGCGACATGCATGCGGCGGGGGGGGGGTCTCTGCGCCACCGCGCGCGCGGCGGCGCTGGCCCGTCGCGCGCGGCAAACACGGCGCCAGCGGCCCCTGTAGCGCCGCGCGCGGGGTCGCTGGGCCGTCGTGCGCGGAGATACGCATCGCGAGCGGCAATTGCGCCGCCGCGCGCGCGGCTGTTTTTTGTCGGGCTTGCGCGCGCGAGGAAGCGCAATGGAGGCGGCCCCTGCGCCGCCGCGCGCGCGGCGGCGTTGGGCCGCCGCGCGCAGAAAAACGCGGCGAGACCTGTTTCGTCGCTTCCGTGCGCGCGGCGGCGCTGGGCCGTCGTGCGCGGACAGGCGAAACGGAGGCGGCCTCTGCGGCGCCGCGCGCGCGGCGGGCTCGGGCCGTCGCGAGCATGAAACGCAGCGGGAGCCCATCCTGGCGGCGCTTGGCCGTCGCGCGCGGAGATCGCGGGGGCGACCGTTGCGCCGCCGCGCGCGCGGCGGCGCTGGGCTGCCCTCGCGAAAGATGAATGGGGGGCGGCCCCTGCGCAGCCGCGCGCGCGCAGGCGTCGGGCCGCCCCCCGCGAAAAACGCAGCGGGGGCGTCCTCTGCGCCGCCGCGCGCGCGGCGGCGTTGGGCCGTTGCGCGTGGAGAAATGCCGCGGGGGCAGCCTCTGCGCCGCCGCGCGCTCGGCAGCATTGGGCCGCCTTGGGTAGAGACGTCGACGCCAGGTTGTCTTGGCAGTTCCGTCGCTGCGGCAGTGGGGTTTGCACCGCTGGCGTTCGATAGCGCTTCGCGGAGACGCGGTCTGTCGTGCGTTGCCTGGCCTGGTCGTAAACGCGGCTGCGTTTGACGGGCGTTGGCATGCCAAATATTTTGCCACTATATTAGCGCAGGCCCGTTTCAGTGCACCATGTAATCAGGTGCGCTTTTCTTTTGCATGTATTTAAAGCTATTTTGCGCTCGCCGATTTTGGAATTTGCCCAGACGTGTTAGGCCGCCGTTTGCCATGACACCCTGGTAGGCCCCTCATAATTTGAAGTTTTAGATGGAGTCATGGTGGGCCCGCGGTGCAGCGAAAATCTGGATCAGACATTTCGCGCGCAGAGAGCAGGTTGACGCGAAAATCGGCGAACCAAGAGCCACGGCGACGATTTACTAAGGCGGCCCTCCTGACGCTGCTGTGGGCTCCCCATACAGACCTAACCTCCCAGACACTCTCAAGGCACAGGGCATAACAATCAGTTCCAATTCCAGACATCTCGGGTATATGTTCGTGGATGAACTGCGTGATTACCCCCGCTCTTTTTCTGCATTTCGAACTACGTTTTGTTTGCTGAAAAAAAGTCCCCCAAGGGCGGCAAGGGGCGGAGGGTAGACGTGCCGCAAAACTGCGGCTCTTACTTGGCGGATTTTGGCGCGCCCGAGCTGGGTTTGTACATTGCGGGGGGGGGGGGGGGGCAATATCTGCATCGCGTGGCTCATCAGCGGCGCCTTCGCCACCCTCAAGCCCAAAAATATCCCGAGGGTTCCGAAAGCGACCGTCGTCGCCCGCGCCCGCCAGCTCTTCGATGACTGACAGGCGCGCCCCCGTCCGGTGACAATCGCGCGCGCGGCGCGATGGCGAAGATGAGGGCGCGGAGGCACGAGGCAATGCCTGCGGGGGGGTGGGGGGCGGGGGCTCGGGCGGACGTGCCAGCGACGACAGATAAGGGGCAGAGGAGCAGGTGGACGAGGAGGCGGGGGGCGCGGGCGAGGTTCCGGAGGGGGGTTGGAGGGGGGCCAGTAGAAAAAGGAGCGGGGAGACACGAGAAAGTGAAACGGCGAGGGGGGGGGCGAGGGGCGGGGGCGCGGGTGAGGAGGATGAGGATAAAGTTGGGGGGTGTATAAGCGTCTGCCATATGCACGTACGTGTCGGTTGGTTACACATCTCACATATGTGTGTACATGTGCATCGATGCCTGCGCGTACGTCCTTGCATACATGATAGGAATAACAAACATAATCCTCTCCTCCCTCGACCCAGCACTTCCCTCCATACCACTGATTATCCACAAAACCGCCCGTTCTTCCACCCGTCGCCCACTGCAGCAAGAGCGTGCGTACTTGTACATGTGCGAGTATCCGTATACACACATACACACATATATATATATATATATAAATATACACATGTACACATGCACCTGCATGGGTGCACACAGGCACTCTGGCAGGCGCGCGCGGTGTGCATATATATATATATATATATATATATATATATATATATACATATATATATATATATGTGTATATCGATATATACACACATACGTACATGATCTGGGCTTGAAATGTTGTTGATAGTTGGCCGTGGTCTGCAGCCAAAGTGGTACACATGATGTTCCCTACAGGGCGGCGGCAGCTTGCGTAAGGCACCTTCAGTCAGGTCCTATGTCTGAGCCCTTCCTCAAGGTCAGGGAAGGGGGGGCCGGGCCTTCGTGGGGGCTGGCATGGGAAAAGTCATGGCGTCGGATCTTTGGGTTCCCTCCTCGTCGTCCTCCTTCTACCTTCTACTCCTCCTCCTCCCCCTCCTCCCTCCTCCCTCCCTCCTCCCGCCTCCCTCCTCCTCCTCCTCCTCCTCCTCCTCCTCCTCCTCCTCCTCCTCCTCCTCCTCCTCCTCCTCCTCCTCCTCCCCCTCCTCCTCCTCCCCCTCAGGGTCAGGGAGGGTGGTGGGGGCGCTGGGTCCCCCCCCCCCGGGCCCAGGACTCCGCTTACGTGGAGTGGCTCGGGCAGCAGGCCCCTCCCCCGCGCGGCGCTCCTCGTCCCCGGGAGGCGCCTCGTGGCCTCGCCCACTCCCCCCCCCCCTTCCTCCCCTCCTCTTCCCCCTCCTCCTCCTCCTCCTCCTCCTCCTCCTCCTCCTCGTCTCCCTCGTCGTCCTCGACCCTCTCCCCCTATCATCCTTCCCCTCCCTCTCCTCCTCCTCCTCCTCCTCCTCCTCCTCCTCCTCCTCCTCCTCCTCCTCCTCCTCCTCCTCCGTTTGCCACTGCGATTATGGCGATCATGACACTCATGACACTCCTCCTCCTCCTCCTCCTCCTCCTCCTCCTCCTCCTCCTCCTCCTCCTCCTCCTCCTCTTCCTCCCCCTTGTCCCCCCCTTCGAGGAGGCGGCGGAGGAGGAGCAGTCGGAACAGGGGGCGGGCGCGGTAGACTGAGGAAGCGCAAGCTTTGGTTCAGGCGTGCGGGTGGGCGACGGGTCTTACCCCCATGCAGAGCATCGGCGCGCTCCATCGCCAGGTCGGTTGCACACTGGCCTCCTGTTTCGTGGCTCCGTCGCCGAGCCGGGTCAGGGCGCCGTCCCCGATCTGTGGATCTGGCGTCGCCCACGTGTCGGGCCTACATATTCGATTCGAAATCCGTGTGAGCATGCGCCCGAGCTAGGTGGGTGTGGATGTTGTCGCGGAGGATGGGAGAAGATGGAGGGCAGGAGGAGAAGGAGGAGTATGATGCGCAGGGGTTGGAGGACACGTCGGTGGGAGTGCCCGGGGTCTGGACGATGACGAGGGGGAGCAGGAGGAGAAGGGGGACTGAGTGCGATGAGGCGCAGCATGGGTGAAATGAAGAGTAGGAGGAGGAAGAGGGAGAGGAGGAGCAGGAAAAGGAGGAGGAGGATGCAGAGGAGGTGGAGGTAAACAAGGGTGGAAGAGGAGGACCCTTTCGCGAGCGGCCTCTCCCATCCTCGATCCGTGCTGTCTCGCTTCCCCTCCTGCAGGGGGCCAGCACAGTCTCCCTCCTCCCCCCCTTCGAAGGCAGTCTCCTTGCTCTCCTTGCCCGCCCAGCCTCGCGTTCTCGGCTCTCCCTTCTCAGAGGCGCCCGGTGGCCCTATTGCGGGTCAGGATGCCGACGGGGTCGAGGCGAATGAAGAACGGGAAGCCCGCATGGCTCCACTGTCGTAGAAGTGTTCGCGCACGGGGGGAATCGACTCGCAGCAGGATGATCTTCACATGGATGACGACAGTGTACCCGCACTGCCGCTGTTCCACAAGAGCTATTGTAGCCACGGCTGGATGTTCTTCGGAATTCTTATCAAAGCGCACCCCAGAAGACGGTCGCGGTCCGTGGAGTAGCGGTATTGGTATTTCTGTGTCCCCACAGAGTTGGGGGTTGATGGGGGGGCACGAAGTCGGCCCAGCGGGGACGTCGGTCTCGGCTTCGGCCACGGAGGCCGCGGTACATCGTAAGTAGAACGTTAAGTTGTAAGTGCACCGTAGTAGGTGCGCAGCTGTGGAAGTGCAAAGTACGCATCACACAGTCCAGATTTCAGCGTGAATCGTGTCAGTAGCAGGCAGATGAAACAGTAACCGCAAACTTTTCATGTACACACGAAGTGTAAACATCATGATGCATGAAGTGCATGAAGCGCAACGATATGTAGCACCCTGCAGCTGCGGATAAGAATGAGGGGGAGGGCGCGGGGTGAGTCGCGGATGGGTCGCGGGTGGGTCGTGGGTCGGGTCGCGGGTGGGTCGCGCGTGGGTCGCGGGTGGGTCGGGGGTGGGTCGCGAGCGGGTCGCGGGCGGGTCGCGCCGTGGGTCGGGGGTGGGTGGCGGGCGGGTCGCGGGCGGGTCGCGCCGTGTGTCGCGGGCTGGTCGCGGGCGGGTCGCGGGGTGGTTCGCGGGGTGGTTCGCGGGTGGGTCGCTGGTGGGTTCGCGGGTGGGTCGCGGGGTGGGGGTTCGTGGGTCGCGGGTGGGTCGCGGTTGGGATTCGGGCGGGTCGTGGGCGGGACGACGACACCAGCCAGCACGCAACAACATTAGCAACAACAATCCGCATTGCCGAAGCACAGTTCAGCCGCGCACCCAGGGCCTCTAAAATTCTGATCGTGTGCAAACTAATTGTCAACACTAAGTGTGAATACCACGTGCAAATGCGGCATGCACGTATTAACGGTAAATGGGGATAGCACGTTGGAGTTGTTTCTTGTTGCCTTTGCGCAGCTTGCCTTAACACATGTCACACGTTTTGTTGAGGTGGCCAACCACGAGTGAGTTTGTCGTTGTGGGTTGTTTGGTCGTTGGCGCAGGTGCGCTGGGTCCAAGACGGTAACGCATGGTCCACAACAATCATCTGACATATTGGTTATAAACGTTGGCCGGCTCTTCAAGCCATGCTGTGTTTGATACAGTCAGATGCAAGTGCACATCGCAATGGTACACATTACCCGTACAGCATACTTGTACACATCATTTTTCACAAAAAGTTTCAAACATTCATTACAACATATATCGTCAGCACCAGCCGTACATATTCATTGAACATGTGCACCGTACATCGTATGCATCCTTTCCAGATTTGTACCTCGAATCTGCACGTTGTACGTCTTTGCGTAGCCTGCATCCAAGCATGCATGCTTGAGGTGGGCAACCCCGCCGTTCGCTCCAGGGCGCCGAGCGCCATACAATGATGCACCTGCAACCGCAAAGGCCTTTATGCTTGCAGCGCCCCGCCCCGGGCGCCCGCTCGATGGTCGTCGATGTTGTTTTGACGTCTGCGTGCGGCCTGCCTCCATGCATAGTTTTTTGGAGGCGGCCAGCCATGTCAGCAAAAGTGTTTGCGATTGCTAAGGCCTTACGGCCAGTGCCGCCGACCCTGGATACCTCGGCCCTCGAGGGTGACGGGATGCGTGATAAGGCGTCGGAGGTAAATGAATACGTGGCGGAGGAGGAGGCGGAGGAGGAGGAGGAGGAGGAGGACGGGGAGGAGGTGGCCAGCCATGTCAGCGAAGTGTTTGCAAAATTTGTGCGGCATGCGTTGAAGCATGATTTTTGAGGCGGTCAACCATGTGAGCAATGCGTCGTTGCGCGCGGCCTGCAGACACGGAAACGGTTTGCGTTCGCAGATGAATTCCGTTGTGCAGGTCGGAGCTGGGCACCCTGGTACACACGGCGCAACGACCCGTAGCGTCAGAGACTGTGATAATATGATCGGCCGTTTTGAACGTGTATGACATAAGGCAGGCCGTTCGAAAACGTAAATCACTGTGTTGGCATAGTTGGCCTCCTCACAAAGGTCGTTAATGTGGGCCGCGCAAAAACGTGCAAGCCTTACGTACAAGCCTGGAAGATGTGCATATTTTCGGTGCGCATTTGGATGTATGTGTTTGTCGTTGCGGGTCGTTCAGCCGTTTGCGTTTGGGCGTCGGGCTCAGTAATTCATCGCATGTTTAGCAACATCAGCCGAATCTCATACTTGCAAGTATGAACAGACACGATAAGCTTCAAGGTTGCATGAATAAATTAAGTGCCACCGTAATTAACATTTGCCGTACAATACAGTTGACAATTGCATGTTATAAGTGTAAAACATAAGTACACATAAATCGAAGTTGACGCAATACCTAGTATATATCAAGTGTACTACTTGTACATTTTCATTGCAAACGGCCTATCAATCAATATCCGCCGTAGTTTGTCCGCTAGTGTTGCTATTTGATGTGCTTACAGCTTACAGCCCGTTCGTCGCTGTACATTTGGACTTTAGCATCGGTGTGGCAGGGGAGGGGATGGGCAAGTCCGAGGCCAGAGTTTGCCCATGGATGAGCATGAAAGCCCGCGGGGCCCACATATGTGGGTATCCATTTCTACTACCTCCTGGGGCCCGAGGTCCAGGATGATCGGCTTTCCAGACGGTGGGCATGGATCAGACCCCGCCTCGCAGCAAGGGGATCCCGAGCAGGCCGAGGCCGAGGCGAGGGGGGCGGGGAGGAAGGAGGAGAGAGTTCCGGAGAGAGGGGGGGGGACGCAGAACGGGGAGACCGTGGCCCGATCCTGGGCGACGACAGCTGCGCCCCGATGCGACACCGGCCCTGGCCAGCCGGGCCCATGCTGGGACCGAGATTGTGTTGTCGTTCTACAGGCCGGCCCCGCCTGCCCCATGCCCACCTGCTCCTCCCTCCTTGTCCTCCCGCATGCCTTCCAACCAGTCTGCTTCCGGTCAGTCTGCCGATTGGAGTAGTGGCGCGACCCTTAAGCCGAATCCCAAATTACAAATGCAGATCCTCCCGCCTTCCTACCTGCTCCTCTGGATACCCTCTGCCTCCCCCGGTTCCTCCTCCCCCTCCATCTCATCCTCCTCCTCCTCCTCCTCCTCCTCCTCCTCCTCCTCCTCCTCCAAGCATATGTGTGATGCGCCTCGTCCGCCTACTCCTCCTCCTCCTCCTCCTCCTCCTCCTCCTCCTCCTCCTCCTCATCCTCCTCCTCCTCCTCCTCCTCCTCCTCCTCCTCCTCCTCCTCCTCCTCTCCCTCCTCCTCCTCCTCCTCCTCCTCCTCCTCCTCCTCCTCCTCCTCCTCCTCCTCCTCCTCCTCCTCCTCTCTCCTCTCTCCTCTCTCCTCTCCTCTCCCTCCTCCACGCCGCTTCTCCTCCCTCCCTCCCTCACCCTCCTCCACGCCCCTTCTCCTCCCTCCCTCCCTCCCCTCCCTCCTTCCCTCTCTCCGCCGCCCTGCGAGGCCCTGCGCTCCCTCGAGCAGGACGCCACCGCCCGCCGGCAGGCGGGGGCGCAGGCCCGCCCGCCGTGCGGCCAGGGCCTCGCGCTACCTGGGCTCCTCCTCGATCCCGCCTCGATGCCGCCTCGAGTCCTCGGTCCCCCATCGATTCCTCCTCCTCCTCCTCCTCCTGCTCCTCCTGCTCCTTCCCCTTCCCCTCCTCCTCCTCCTCCTCCTCCTCCTCCTCCTCCTCTTTCCTCTCCTCCTTCCCCTCCCCCTTCTCTTGGAATGCGCTGCCCCTCTGCTGTGGGGGGCAGTTCGAAAGGGCGGGCCGCGGAGGGCAGAGGGTCTACACAGTTTCGAGGAATCCGTGAATCGAGTATGGGTCGGATCTTGTAACGTGTCAAAGAATGGGCGCATGCCCCAACACACGAACCTATGCTGCATATAAGGACCGATGAACTTTCGCTTTGCGTCGTCCCCCTCCTCGCCTCTCCCACTGGGGCCTCCGGTGGAGCTCCCCACGGGGAAATGGGTGCGGCGGCGGCAAGCGGACCCTCCCTCTGGAGCCTTCGGTGGAGCTCCCAACGTGACCACGAAACGTTCAATGGGTGTGCCGAAATGGGGGCGGCGGTGCCATTCGGTGAAGCTTCCTACGGGGACGCGAAACGTGTGAGAGGCGTGCCGACATGGGTGCGGCGGATGTTGATGTGGATGCTGATGGTTGCGCTAGGGTGTCTGTTCGTGATGATGATGCTGATTATGATGCTGATGCTGCTGCTGATGATGATGATGATGATGATGATGCTGATGCTGATGCTGATGCTGATGCTGATGCTGATGCTGATGATGATGATGATGATGATGATGCTGATGCTGATGCTGATGCTGATGCTGATGCTGATGCTGATTATGATGATGATGATGATGATGCTGATGATGATGATGATGATGGGTGTGATGATGGTGGTGATGGTGATGGTGATGATATCGATGCTGACGAATGCCGAATCATGATGATGATGATGACGATGCTGGTGATGATGATGCTGATGCTGATGCTGATGCTGATGATGTTGGTGATGCTGCTGATGATGATGATGATGATGATGATGATGATGATGATGATGATGACGGTGACGATGCCACTGATGGTGATGATGATGCGGATGCTTGTTATAATGATGGTGACGATGCCGATGACGATGGCGATGACAATAATATGGATGAGGAGGACGATGAGGATCGAGATCAGGATGAGGATGCTGGTTGTGTTGATTCAGATGACGATGCTGCTGCTGCTGATGATTATTATGGTGATGATGGTGATGGTGATGGTGATGGTGTTCATGATGAAAATAATGCAGTTTGTGGCACGGATTCTGCCAATGAGGGTGGTGCTGATTACACGCCGGTCGTTGAAAGTAGGTATTTGGGGATTTCCAGATCCCAATCTATTTCCAGTGCCTTCCTACTTCAAGAATCGACATGATTTTGCTGCGTGTTGTTATTCAATCGCTTCGCTCATTCCGCCGGCCCTGGAGCGCTGTTTGGGGCCTCTTGGGGCCGTCTTGGGGGCTTCTTGGGAACGTCTTGGGGCTCCGTGGCGGCGTATTGGGCTCCCTTGGGGCCTCTTGGGGGTCTCTTGGGGGCCCCTTGGGGCGGGGGGGGGGGTAGTCGTTGGCAGCCCCCCCCTTGGAGGCCACGATCCTCGTGCGGGGTGGCGAAAAATAGCCTCCCCCCTGGGGATCGCCCGGGGGTCAGCCGGAGATCGGCAGGGGTACTTTTCGTCCGGGGCCCCCCAGGGGCCGCCCCGCACGCGCGAACTAGACATATTGTTAAGTAGTTACCGGAGATCGTAGCACGCCTCGTTGGGCCGGCGAATTCTTTGGGAGGGCCTGGACCCAATCCACTTTATCCGCCTTCCTACTTCATGTTTTTACCTACTTCTTCCGACCGACGTGTACGATGCGTATGATGCCAGCGCGGATGACGATTCTGATGATGTTGATGGTGATGATGACCATGATGATGGTGGATGATGATGGTGACAACGACGACGATTAAGACGGTGACTACGTCGATGACGATGGCGATGCTGCTCGTGGTGATGACGATGCTGCTGACGATGATGACGATGATGACGATGATGATGATGATGATGATGATGATGATGATGATGATGATGATGCTGATGATGATGATGATGATGCGATTGTTGCCTGTTGATGATGATGCTGCCGATGATAATGAGGAGGAGGAGGATGAACATGGTGGTACTGCTAGTGCGCTAGTGATGATGACGATGCTGCCGATGATGATGATGATGATGATGATGATGATGATGATGCTGACAATGATGATGATGATGATGATGATGATGATGATGATGATGATGATGACGAAGGTAACGATGACGATGATGACAATGATGTTGCTGCTGATGCTGATGATGATGCTGGAGATGGTGATGGTGATGGTGATGCTGGTCATGATGATCAGGATGCCGCTAATGATGATACAGCTGTTGATGATGATGATGATGCTGATGATGATGATGATGATGATTGTGATGATGATGATGATGATGATGATGATGATGATGTTGGAGATGGTGATGGTGATGGTGATGTTGGTCATGATGATGAGGATGCCGCTAATGATGATACAGCTGCCGATGATAATGATGATGATGATGATGATGATGATGATGATGATAATGGTGATGTTCATGGTGATGGTGATGCTGGTGACGATTATGTAGATGATGCTGATGTTGATGATGCTGATTATGTCGATGATGCCGATGATGATGATGATGCTGATGGATGTGGTGATGATGCTGATGGTGATGGTGAGAAGACGTTGACGAGGAGAGAGTAGGGGGAGGAGGGATGCGGGGTGGACTCGGGGCGCTGCTGATTCACATAGGGGACCCAACACAGGTGCTGCTGGGAAACCCACAGGGTTCAGTGCGCGTGCGCGCTCTCTTGTCCGCGCGTCGTGCCAGGCTGGCGGCCTGCGCAAGTCAGTCGCGGCGGGACGTTAATTGCATCTTCTCGTGTGAGGACTCGTCTCTTTTCTTCGCTTAGGTTTCGCGCCGAAGAAATGTTTCAGGGGTGGACAGAACCCCCACCCTGACACGTCGGTTAGTGAATTGTGCGTTTTCGGTTCTCGAAAGGGCGCCGCGACCGTCATTTTCCAGGCTTGCGCCCGCCAGGTGTGGACCCGAGGTCGTTTTCGCTAAACCACGTTTTACAGTCGGGGCCCTGAACAAGGAACCCTTTTCGTTGGGGAGGGGCTCGGTGTTCCTCGATTGTTCTGCAGTTTGCCTTTTGCTTTCCTTAGGTTCTCGATCGGACATCGAAAATTAACTTATGAAAAAAAGGGGCCTCGTTCCTTGTTTAGGGTTCCTTAGGTCGAAGCCCCGACTGTACTAAAGGCGGGTTCTGTCCCTCCCCCAGGGCTGCGCCGCAGGCGCTCGGAGCCCTATCCTGCCCTGTGCTCGCATGGCCCCCCTGCCGGGGAGAGCCAGGCGGGGGAGGCCTCTCGGGGAGGAGCCCGAGTCCGACAGGGATCTCTCTCGCAGGCGAATTGTAGCCCAGCCCCCTCCCCCAGCAACAACCAGCCGTTTCGTACAGCTACCATTGAGGGGGAGCTCGGTGATACACCCCCGAGGCGGGGTGCTGCTAGTCGAACACGCCCCCATCGAGGATGGACCCCCCCCATCGATGAGCCCGAGTTGGGCCGAGCTGGCCTGATTGAGACTCCTGCAGGGTAAGGGATTCGAGTCTGACGACTTTTCGAGTCTGACGACTGGGTTCCGCCACCGCCACCACCAGTCAAGCCGTACATCCAGCGTGATGTGTCGGCACGATCACCACTCAAGGCCGCCGAAGGACAATGCCTGACTCCACAACAGCAGTGCACGCGCGGGGAATAGGAATGGAGGGACGGGAGGAGACAGAGCAAACAGGCCACTTCATAGAAGGTGGCTCCGAATCGCCCGAGTCCGGGGCCAGTACTCGTTTCCGGGGCTGGGATTACGTTCCCCTTTCTGAGTTGGGGGCTCAAGGACGGGGGCAGTGCAAGTGGGGGTTTTTCAGAGCGCTGGATCTTGCAGAATCCTGCAGGGGCAGGGGTGCACTGACCCTGGTTGGGCCGCAGGATCGTGCATGAGGTTTTGGGGTCCTGCAAGGCCTGACTGGCCCGGGTTTGGATTGACCCAGGTCAGTAGTCGACCGAAAACCAAACGACGCCACCCCACCTACGTCCCTCCATGCTGCGCTACGGCCCATCGGGCGCCGTAGCGCCTACCACGCAAGAACCCACGCCAGATTTCCCGGTACACGCTAAGGCCCTTGGTGCCGTAGGTAGGGTGGTGTCGTTTTTTCTGGTCTTAGCAGATCCCCGAGTTCTTCGGGTCCCTTCCCCATCCCGCCCCATCCTCTCCCTCCCCTCGATGCTGCCCTGCGCGGCCGCACACTTCACAGGCGTCGGCAGAGCCCCCCAGGAGCGCTGCACGGAGGTGTCGCGTCGTGGCGCGGTCCTCGCCCTCGTCCCCCTCGAAGAGCATGCATGCAGTTGAGAGAGGAGTGCTTCGGCCAAGCCTCTGGGTTGGTTATGGAGGTCGCCGCGGTGATCGCAGCGCGCACGCACACCAGGCAGGGTTTTCCTCGACGAGTGGCAGGCCCACTCCCGGCCTCCCAGTTTCCGCGCTGTGACGTAGACTCGGCGCGTGATGATCCATGTATAGTGACAGGGAGTTGCTAATTCATGTCTAACACAGGCCGTTGCGTTTGTTTGGACAGGTTAGGGGTGGATCTTCATGCAACCCGTGCTGAAGCCACTTGTGCATGGCACGTGCCGACCCACCAGACATACAGTGGACACCCATGCCAAGAGCCATTGAGCCATTTGGCTTGCCTCTAGGGTGCCCTTGGTTTCTCGGGTTTCGATGGCTTCGCCATGGTAAGCGTGACGCTCCCACACGAAACATCAAGGGACGGTCGGGAGTCTTGGGTGGCCTTCAGCTCAAAATCAACGCACGACGAACCCCTACATGCGATTTAAGGTCACTTCAGGCCAATTAAGAACCACATCCCGCTGCAAGTCAAGGTCATTCAAGGCCAAGTAAGGCGCCGCAGCGTACCTTATTTGGCCTTACTCGGCCTTCACCGACCGCGAGCAACATGATTACCGGTAGCTCCCATGAAAAGCCACCCAAGGTCTCAGGGTTGGGTTCGTTGTGGAGGGTTTCGTCTGGCACGCTATGTGGGCAGGACTGCGTCTGAATCTCCTCTGTAGTTGTGCATGGTCACGTTTCCTTTCTGTTGGATCATGCTGTGTTGTATGCGTGCACTTCACGGTGCCCTGTTGCTTTGGCCTCCATGGCAGCGCACGTTTCATCTCGATTGACGCCTCGCACGCTTCACGTGCCTGGCGCTGCGGCGCCCGCCTGCGACGCCCCGGCTGGCGACATCTGCAGGTCCGAATCCGCATCCGAAATCGCGCTCTCGGCGAGGCGCGGCCACCGCCGAGCGCCCCGAGGCCGGAAGGACGCGGGGAACCCGCGGAGAGCGCTCGGAGACCTCCAAAGCCTCGACGCTCGACCACCCCCTGGAGCCTCTATCCCCCCTTAGCCTCAGAGCCGGCGCTGCGAGAGCTTGCAGCATCGCCCAGCGTCACGACCAGGGCCCTTCACCAGACTCGTCTGGCCGAGCTCCCTCCCAGCGTGCGCGCTCGCTTGCGGCGAGGCAGCGGCCGCGCGCCGTGCCGAGGAGGCGGCGAGGCCGCGGCCGCCGCCGCCCTCCCTGGGGGGGAGGGGGGAGGAGGAGGAGGAGGGGGAGGAGGGGGAGGAGGAGGAGGAGGAGGAGGAGGAGGAGGAGGAGGAGGAGGAGGAGAGGAGGAGGAGGAGGAGGAGGAGGAAGAGGAGGAGGGGGAGGAGAGGAGGAGGAGGAGGAGGAGAGGAGGAGGAGGAGGAGGAGGATGAGGAGGAGGAGGGGGAGGAGGGAGGAGGAGGAGGAGGAGGAGGAGCAGGAGGAGGAGGAGGAGGAGGAGGAGGAGGAGGAGAGGAGGAGGAGGAGGAGGAGGAGGAGGAGGAGGAGGAGCAGGAGGGAGGTGGAGGAGGAGGAGGAGGAGGAGGAGGAGGAGGAGGAGGAGGAGGAAGAGGGCCGCGAGCGGCGCCAGCCTAGCCGCGGAGGCGCCCGGGCGCGAGCCAGGCTGAGGGGAAGCGGCGCTCGCCATGGGGGAAGCGGGTCCTGAGGGAAACGGTCCTTGGGTTACATGGGTTTGCCGACGTTTTCAGGCTCTCGGGGCCCTCCACGGGCTCTGGGACACTCAGACGGCTCGGGAAGAGGAACTCGTCCTTGTGCGGAAGGACCCAGGGTCCGCTCAGGTTGGGGCATCGGCTCAAGTTCAACGATTGCGCCCGAAGTCTTGGAGGATGGAAGGCGAGGGAGAGGACGAGGAGAAGTTCGTTCCGGAACGCTCTGAGAAGTCCGCGGCGCCCGGGACCTCCCCCAGAACCTCTATAAATTCCCGACTGGAAGCCGGCGGTAAACCGTCAACCAGGTTACCGCCGGGATCCTCGTAGAGCTCTTGACACGCAAAGTAGCGTTCAGAGTACGACGCGCAAGCATCCTTGAATTTCAGCGTACAAGAAACTAGAAAAATATATGTTCTTGGTTTTATACGAAGTTGGTTCCTCCACGTTTTTTGACAACCGCCGGATCTTAGAGATTCCCGATTACTCCTCACCCGATTTGACTCTCGCCCTGGCTTCGTCTTCGAGGGAGGCACCCCGCGCGCGGCAGAGCCCGCGCGCCGCTGCCGGGCGCGCACCGACGCGCACGGCGGGTGTCCTGTGCGAGCTTCGCAGGCACCTCCGGCCACGCGCAGAAAGGGGGTTTATGGGGGAGGCCCGGACATGCTCGCGTCGTACAAAAAAATCAGGACGGGAGGTTTTTAACTATTTTCGACCTTCGGGAGCCTTCGCCGGGCCCCGGGACCGTCAAAATACGACTCAGGATGAACAACCGGTCCCGGGGAAAGGGTCGGGACTTCCAGGGACGCCGTCCTGAACAAATCAAATCAGGACTTCGCATGTCTGGGGAGGGGGGAAGGCTTCTTAGAAGCGCCCCTCCTTAGAAGGCGCTGGCCTTGTCTAAAGATGTAATGCCGGCGCCTGCTAAGAAGCAGCCTCCTTCTAAGAAGCCTTCCCTCCTCCCCCTCCTTCTGCGCGCCGCCAGCTCCTGGCACCCGCGCCCAAAAACTCAATCCAGGACAGTGGCGAAGGGGTGGGAGGGAGAGGGAGGGAGGGGAGGGGAGGGAAGGGATGGCGGGTGGGGAAGGGTGCCCCCTGCGGGAACAGGGAGGGGGAAGGGAGGGAAAGGAGGAGGAGGAGGAGCAGGTTGGGAGAGGACAGGGGAGGCCCGCGGGGTGAGGAGGGGGGTTCGTGTGCAATACATTCGTTGCAACACAATGCAACACAATTCTCTGGCGCAGTCCATTTGCAAAACCATTGCCCCAAACCTGCTGCACCACCCCCTTCCAGCTGGACCCCCTTTTTGGTCAAGCAGAGGAGGGGGGGGGGGGAGGGAGGGGAGGGAAGCGAGGGGGGCAACGGGCGGGGCGGGCATGGCAGCGAGGGCCGGCCCGGGGTCGCGGCGCCGACCCCCCCCCCCCCCCGCCAGGCGGGCGCGCGAGGCGGAGCAGGTGCGGGCCTCGGAGCTCCGCGAGCAGAGCCTGCGCCTGGCGGTGGAGGCGCGCCCGTTGCCCGGTCGGCCAGGTGACTTGCCGCTCCTCTGCCGTGCCTACCGCGGCAGGAGGAGGAGGAGGAGGAGGCGGAGGAGGAGGAAGAGGAGGGGGAGGGGGAGGGGGAGGAGGAGGAGGAGGAGGAGGAGGAGGAGGAGGAGGAGGAGGAGGAGGAGGAGGAGGAGGAGGAGGAGGAGGGGGAGGAGGAGGAGAAGAAGAAGAAGACCTCTGTGAACCCAAGGCGCGCCAACGATATTGCAATGCACCGTCGTTCGAAGCTCCCTGTTCATAGGTCCCATACAGGAAACCATGTGCATTGCGGGAAATGCGCCATGGAAAGACAACCATCTAATCATCCTCCATCGTGCTAAAACACCAGTCCTGGGACTGCAACGCCACGAATCGTCGGGACTGTCGCGTCCTGGCAGTCCCCTGCCGTATCAGAAGTGTCCTGGCCATTCGCAATCGTGCCAGGGCGCTGCTCCTGGGACTTGAACCTTACGAAGCCGTAAGACTGCTGCAGACTGTTGAGACGAATCTGCGCGGCCCTAAAGCGAAATACACAGTTTGAAACAGCAGGCGCCCTCCATCCGTGCAGCTCCTGCAGGAGACGAGCGCGTGCAGCGCTGCAGCGAGAGCCGCATTTTGAAAAAGAGCCGCCCCCCAGCCGCGAAACTGCTGCAAGCTTGTAAGGCGAAGGTGTGCGACGCTGAGACGAGAGCCACAGGTTGAAAGTGAACCGCCTTCTCCATGAAGTTGTCGCAAATGTAACAGACGAAGGCGCGCGGCGCTGGGGCAAAAAAAACAGTTTGAAAACCGACCGCCCTCCATCCTTGAAGATGCCGTGAATTTTGAAGCTTCAGGAGCATCACCGGCGAGGGCGTCTCAAGCGACACTCCCGACCTGCCCCCACCGACGCGTCTGGAGAGACGACAGGCAGGAATTAGTATAAAGGGGGAAGCTATGTAGGAGGAGGAGGAGGTGGAGGAGGAGGAGGAGAAGGAGGAGGAGGAGGGGGAGGAGGAGGAGGAGGAGGAGGAGTATAAAGGGGAAGCTATGTAGGAGGAGAAGGACCTGTGTAAACCCAAGATGCACCAACGCTGTAGCAATACCTCCCCATTCTGGGCTCCCTCTGCATCTGGTCTTGACAGTATTTATTTGCATTGCGGGGCATGCCCCATTGAAAGACAACTGACTGGGAGCCCCGAGTCGTTCCACAGCACCGACCCCAGCGCCGCGAATCTTTGTGACTTCTGCATCCTGGTAATCTCCAACTGCGCCAGAACACCATACCTGGGACTCCACACGAGACTGGTGTGTCCTGACCAGCCGAAGTCATGCCTGGACGCCCTTCCTGAGACCCGACCCTTGCGAGTCCTCGGCGCTGCTGCAATCTTCTCGAAGGCTCGTGCGCGTGAAGGCGCCCGGCGAGGTGGACCCGCGCGCGGGGAAGAAGGGGGACGGCGGCGCGCCAGGCGCTTGCCCAGGGGCCCCAGCCCGCCGCGGGGTCGCCCGGGGGCTGCCGCCGCAGCGGCGGCGCGCGTGCGTGGGCCGGGCCCTGAGAGCGCGGCGTGGGGAGACGGGCCGGCGGGCCGCCCGAACCCGCGGCGCCGACGTCCGCCGTCGGGGCGCCCGGGGGGCGTCTCGGCCAGCTTCTGCCCGCCATGGTGGTGGTTCAAACTCGGGGGCGGAAAAGAGGGGGGTGATGACTAGGGGGGGGTGGATATCATGGCGCGGGCCATGATATTTCCCCAGATCTCATGGCGCCTCTTCTTATTTCATTACGTCCCAGGCCCCCCCGCTGGGCCGCGCACATGCCGCCGGTCATGATTTGCACCCCCCCCTCTTGGACACCCCCCTCTTTGCCGTCCCCGACAAACGGGGGCACAAGGTCGGGACGGAACTGCGTGTGGGTGCCGTGGCCAGGGGGCCCCTCGGGGCGATCTTTGGGGGTCTCTTGGGCGGGGTCCTGGACGCTGTGGAGGCCCTGGAGGCGCAGATGCTGGAAGTGTGGGTTTGCCAAAAAGGACTGGGGCGATCCTACCGGCTTGCACACCACATTCGCCGACCCTGGGCAGCTCAAAACGCTCTGGGCGCCCAAGCATTGTTCGCCGGGGGCAGTGCTTACAAAGGAAGTGTGACCAGGAGCTTGGATGTTCTGCTGGGCCTCAGGGGGCATTCCTGGGCCGTTTGCGGCGCCTTGTGGGCCGTAGTGGGGCCATCTTGGGCTGTTGGAGCCCGTGTTGGGCCGTCATGGGGTCTCCTCCTGCTGCAAGTGCTCTTAGGCCTGGAAGGCCAGTTGCTCGTCCCGTGGAGCTCCCGCAGCGGATGCCACCTCCCGATGTCCAAGTGCTGCCTGGGCCTGCCGCCGATCACAGTCGAGCAGCTCCGAAGAGTACGCAAAAGGTACCCACGCAGGTGCGGGCTTGGCTGGGGCGGTTTCCATCCTCGGCGGTTCCTGGGTCTTAGTGATGAGCATGCGGCCCGCTTGGTTGACATCATGCATCAGTTCGAGCGGGCCCCGAAAGGCTTCCCATTATTCATGGCTGATATCGTGCTCGTGGATACGAGCGACGGTGGAATTCGACCGATCGGGCTCTTGGCGTTCTTCTCGAAGGTGCGGTCCAGGGACAGTCTTCCGCTGTTCAAAATGTGGGGGCGAGCTCATCTAGATGAAGTTGTCTGGGGCGCTAGCAGCACCACTACGTGTAAACGAGCGGGGTGGGCGCACGGTCTCTTGGGCAGTTATTGCAGACGGGTGGGTTTCGATTCAGGGTCAGCTTTAGCAGACTTGCCTACGTTCTACGAGCACATCGGACACGAGGACTTGCATGAGGCTGCCGCTAGGAAGAGGAGGAGGGAGGAGGGAGGGAGGGAGGGAGGGAGGGAGGGAGGAGGGAGGGAGGAGGAGGAGGAGGAGGAGGAGGAGGAGGCGGAGGAGGAGGAGGAGGAGGAGGAGGAGGAGGAGGAGGAGGAGGAGGGAGGCAGGAGTAGGACAACGAGGAGGGGGAGGACGAGTACGACGAGGAGGAGGACGAGGGGGAGTTGGACGAGATGTAAGAAATGGAGGAGGAGGAGGAGAAGGAGCAGCAGCAGCAGCAGCAGCAGCAGCACCAGGCAGGATGGAGCCCCAGGAAAGGCAGGAGGCAGGAGGAGGCAGAAAGAGGCGGAGGCAGGATCGAGGGGAGAATGAGGAGGCACGAGGGTGTAGGGGGAGGTGGTCAGAGTTATGATGCTCCAGTCTACTTTAGCCTTGACCACCAGGAAGAATTCCGAGCGGCCAAAAACAAGTACCGAAACTCGAGGGTTTTCACGTGTCGGGCTCTGGGAGACACTCGCCCGACACTGTTTCGACATTGCTTCGGCATTAGTTTGACACTTTTCTGGGTGTTTGGTTTTTGTTTTCTGAGATGTGGCCCTGAAGTAGGATGGGAACAACAGAAGGCAAGAGGATATCCTCAGGCACGCCAGAGCGATAATCATTGGGGTTGTTTTCCGTCGGAGTAGTTTCTCAATCCTCCTGCTCTGGGTTGTCGCATTCAGTAGAGCACTGCCGTCGCACACCCATTCCTCCTCCTCTCCCTCCTGCCTGCTCTTGCGTTGCTCCCTGGGTGGCTGCGAACTGCGCATCTGTCGCCACTTTCGTTAGCTCCTGCGAGGCACGGCGGAGTGGCAAATACACGAGACCTCGCCGCACCTCGAGTCGTTGCGAATTGCGCACGTGTCGCCACCTTTGTGGGCTCCTGGGAGGCACGGCGGCGTAGCGAAGTATCCGAGACTGAGAAGCTCCTTGGATGGCTGCGAACTGCGCAATTGTCGCCACTTTCGTGGGCTCTTGCGAGGCACGGCGGAGTAGCGGAGTACCCGAGATTTCGCAGTTTGTTGCCGCCACTTTTGTAGATTCTTGGGAAGCACCGCGGAGTAGTGGAGTACCCGAGAATTCTCCGCTCACTGAGCGGTTACGAATTACGCAATTGTCGTCATGTTCGCGGGCTCTTGGGAGACACCGCGGAGTAACGGAGTACCCGAGACCCCGCAGTTCTCTGGATGGTTGCGAATTGCGCAATTGCCGCAATTGTCGTGGGCCAGTGAAGTCGGGTGTCATGCGCACACAGGCGAGACCTCGTTGTTGCCTGGGTGGCTGCGAACTGCGCATCTGTCGCCACTGTCGTGGGCTCCAGGGAGGTCCAGCGGAGTCGGGGGCCACGCGGACCCATTTGGAACCTCGCTGCTCCCTGGGTGGATGCTAACTGCGCAATTGTCGCCACTTTCGTGGGCTCCTGGGAGGTCCAGAGGAGTCGGGGGCCACGCGGGTCCAGCCGAGATCTCGCAGCCTTTTGGGAGGCTACGATCTGCGCAACCGCCATCACTTCTTGTGGGCTCCTGGGAGGCACGGCGGAGATGAGGGCAGCCCTGATAAGGGTGATGTGTTGTTCTTTGTATGGGGCGTTCATACGGATATTCGCCTCGCGTTGGAGATCGTGTTGGGTACGTCTCGGGCACTTGCCCTCACAGCCCTTCGGCGGCGAGCCTGGGGGGGAAGTGAGAAGGAGAAAGCCTTCTCAGAAGGCTCGGAAGTCCCCCTGGGCTTCTGAGAAGTTTTCAGAGCTTTCTCCGACGCCAGGACATTTCTCAGGAGGCGCGAGGGCTTCCGAGAAGTCCCGCCGCCCTCCGAGAAGGCCCTCTCCTTTTTTTTTGTCCCTCCCTTCGCTCGCCCGCCGACCTTCGTGCGGAGCGCTCACACAAGTGCTCGCCTCGCGTGAAGATCGTGCTGGGTGCGTCTCGGGAGTGTGCACTTGCCCTCGCGGCCTTCCCTGGCAGTTTCCCCCCCCCCCCCTCCCCCTCCGCGAGGCGCAGCGCCCCTCCCTAGCAGGTCCCTGGCAGCCCCCCCCCCTCCCCCTCCCCCTCCCTAGCATGTCCCCCCCCCTCCCCTCCCTAGCAGGTCCCCCCCCCTCCCCTCCCCCTCCCTAGCAGGTCTCCCCCCCCTCCCTAGCAGGTCCCTGACAGATCCCCCCCCCGCGAGGCGCAGCGCCAGCGCGAGGAGGCGGAGCACCAGCTCGAGGAGGAGAGGCGGGCCGCGCTCCGGGCGCAGGTGGAGCGCGAGCGCGAGCGCAAGGACCTCCCGGGGCAGCAGGAGAAGAGGAGGAGGAGGAGGAGGGAGGAGGAGGAGGAGGAGGAGGGGGGGAACAGGAGGGGGAGGAGGGGGGAGGGAGGAGGGGGAGGAGGGGGGAGGAAGGAGGGGGAGGGGGGGAGGGGGAGGGGGAGGGGGGAGGAGGGAGGAGAGGAGGAGGAGAGGAGGAGGAGGAGGAGGAGGAGGAGGAGGAGGGAGGAGGAGGAGGAGGAGGAGGAGGAGGAGAGGAGGAGGAGGAGGAGGAGGGGGAGGAGGGAAAGAGGAGGGGAACAGGGAGGGGGGAGGAGGGGAGGAGGAGGAGGAGGAGGAGGAGTGAGGAGGAGGAGGGGGATGATGAGGAGGAGGTGGGATGCTGGGGAGGTGGAGAAGCAGGAGGCAGGAGCAGGAAAGCGAGGATAGGAGGAGGAGGGGGAGGAGGGAGGAGATGAGGGGGATGAGTAACTTAAGCATCGAAGACGCCTACGGCGAATCACCGCCGCCCCTAGTCTTTTGACAGAGCCCGTGTGGCCGAACCTTGAGGCCATCGCTCGACCAGACTGTCAGTCTATGTGTTCCACCATCCTCTGTGGAAACTCTTCAGGGAGCCAAAGGGGGAGAGAGAAGAAGAGGAGGAGAGGGAGGAGGAGGAGGAGGAGGAGGAGGAGGAGGTGGAGGAGGCGGAGGAAGAGGAGGAGGGAGAGGCCTCTTTGGATACTCCGAATTTCTCACTAAGCGTCGAGGGGGCGTCACCCCGCCGACAGCCCCACATCGACCCCGGTCGCGGGCAGCCAGCGCGCGCCAAAGGCGATCCGACCCCCGTCGCGGCTCGACGACGGGGCGAGGTTGACCCCCGTCGGAGGGGTACACCCCGCGCTTGTTTAGAATCCCAGAGTGCTCTTGTGGCCTCCTGGGGGCCTTTTGAAGGCCTCTTGGGGGCTTCTTGGGCCTCTTGGAGGCCTTCGGATGCTCCTTGGGATGTTCTCTGACGTTTGAAGGCGTTCCTGGCCCGTCTGACGCCGTTGAAAGCCGTCTTGCGGGCCGCCCTTTCTTGGCCGACTCGGGGCCCTCTTGGGGCGCTTCAGGGCCGTCTTGGAGACCATCTCAGGCGTCTTGGAGGTCTCCTGTGCCGTCTTAGTGCCCTCCTGGGATCGTCATGGGGACCTCTTGGGCCGTCAGGGGGCATCTCGGAGGCCTCAGTGGCGTTCGCGGGGCATCTTGGTGGCCCTCGGGGCTGTCTTGGACCGCATGAGCCCTGACAATGAGCAAACGCCAACATGCGTCAAAGGCCCAAGGCAAAACATTGAGTTTGACATCTTAGGGCATTCCTGGATGACCTCTTGGAGGCCTCTTGGAGCCTTCTTGGGCCGTCTGGCGCCGTCTTGATGCCATCTTTGGCCGTCTTGGGTGCATATTGGGACGGCTTGGAAACATCCTGCGGCCATCTTGGTCTCTATCGGGGGCATCTTGGCCGCCGTGGAGGCCATCTTTGGCGTCTGGGTTGCCTCTTGGGCTGGCTTTGGGCCCTCTTGGAGACTTCTTGGGCCGTCGTGTGGCCATCTTGGAAGCCTCTTGGGCGGTCTCGGGTCGATCTGGGGGCCTGCTGGGCCGTCTTGGGTCGCCAGAAGGCCGAACAGGATGAAAAGCCAACAACCTTCAAACACATTGTGAAGGGGAGCAAAACCGTGCCGATACTGCTACTCCACGGACCTCTCCCGAGGTGCGTTCTGAACAAGATTTCCAAGAGAATCCAGCCGTGGCAACGCGCGAGGTCGATAGGTGTTCCTCCCCTGAACGGCGCGGCGGCGGACGGCGGGGACAACTGGGGGAGCAAACGGTGCCGATACCGCTACTCACAATTGGCCTCGTCGAGCCTTCCGGAGGATTTGTTGCGAGCCTTGAGGGCTGTCTTGAACGCCTCGCCGGGGCCTCTAAGAGCGTCTTGGGCAGTCTTGAGTCCAATGTGGGCACTCTTGAGTTCCACTTGCCGTCTTGGAGACATCTCAGGGCCGACTTCGAGGGCATCTTGAGCTATCTCAGCCTTCTTGGAGACATCTTGGAGGCCATCTTGGGCAATCTTGGCAGCCTTGGAGGCGATTTGGGCAACGAGGGATGCTCTTCGGGGGCCTTCCGGGCGGCCAGCGGGCTGGACCGACGCTCCAGGGCGAGTTCTTGAGAAGCGAACCAGACACCTCCCAGATGTCTGAAACGCCGGGCACCCCGGTGGCAAGACCACAGGAGTCGGCGGATCGAGGACGCCTGTGGCGAATCACGACCGCCCCCTGCCTTCTGGAACCCCCCATGCGGCCGAACGTCGTGGCCAGAGCTCTACCAAACCATCGGACCATGTGTTTCCCCAGCCGTTGTGGGAACCCTCCGGGGAATACGCGGGGGAGAAAGAAGAAGCGTGGGAGAGGGAAGAAACATAGAGAGGAGAAGCAGGGGAAGAAACATAGAGAGGAGAAGGAGGAGGAGGAGGAGGAAGAGGAGGAGGAGGAAAGGAAGAAGACGAGGAGGAGGAGGAGGAGGCGGAGTGCATCGCCTTTCTGGGCAGTCGTGAGAAGTGCAGACAGCGTAGACAATTGGCGACAGCGGAGGGCACTCTCGCGGCAGGGCGCGGTCGCTGACGGACGGCAGGGTGGGGTCGCAGGGCGCTGACGGAGGGAAGTTGGCCGGACACGAGCAAGGGCCAACGCAGGAGCTCGGTGGCAACAACGGCAAGGCTGCACCCGAGCCAGGGGCCATCGGGGACGATGGCCAGTCGAAGAACATCTGCAGAGCAGGAGAGCCGACGCCAGGGCGGAGGACAGCGGGGCACAGGGCCAGCGAAGGATGTCCCCAGCAGTGGCGAGAAGCATTTGCCTGGGGCGCGATGGCACGTCTCTGGCTGCGGCGCAGACGCAAGGGCTGCGCTCCTCTCCCCCCTCCCGTCTCCCTCCTCCTCCTCCCCTCTCCTTCCTCCCCCCCTCTCCCCTGGTATCGCTCGGACGTTTGCACTTTTCCTCGGCGGGGATTGTTCAGGAGCATCCTGGGTCATCCTGCGACAAAAAAGCCACGCACGAGACGGAAGCAAGAACACAGGGAGTGGACGTCCGAGCGATGGCCAGCTCCTCTTCCCCTCGTACCCTTCTCTCCCTTCTTCCTCCCTCCTCCTCCTCCTCCTCCTCCTCCTCCTCCTCCTCCTCCTCCTCCTCCTCCTCTCCTATTCTCTTCTCTCGGAGCAGGGCCAGCCGAGACAGCGGCGGCTCCCCCGCCCGGCTGGACACCCGCTCGGAATCGGCCCCAGGACCCATCCTTGGCTCGGCCTTGCTTTGCGAGGCCCCCCGATCATCGCTGACGCCTGGCATCGCTCGGACGTGGGCATTCGTTTCTCGGCGAGGACCCTGGAGGAGCACCCTGGATCATCGAGCAAACGAAAGCACGCACGAAGCCGAAGCGTGCACAGGGAATGGACGTCCGAGCGATGTCAAGGACGTCGCCTCCTCTGAGCAGTCTGATCACGATTGCGCTTCCCCAGCATCTAGGGGGGCGACACTATTCCAGTCCACTGGGGGTGGGCACGCCAGGTGACCGAGCCTGGTGGGCACCGCCGTCGATGGGGCGAGAAGTGTCGGGGAGGGCCGCCGCTGCCTCAGCCGGTCCTCCCCCGATTCTCCTCCCGTCGCCCTGCCCTCCCTGCTCCTCCCCCTCCACCTCCTACTCCTCCTCCTCCTCCTCCTCCTCCTCCTCCTCCTCCTCCTCCTCCTTCTCCCTCCTCCCTCCTCCTCCTCCTCCTCCTCCTCCTCCTGCCTCCTGCCTCCTGCCTCCTCCTCCTCCTCCTCCTCCTCCTCCTCCTCCTCCTCCTCCTCCTCCCCTTTGCGCCCGCGCGGTGCCAGAGGAGGCCGTGGCCTCCTTTCTGCGCGCCGAGGGCTTCGACGGCGTCTGCTCGGGGCGCAGAAGGACAGCTCGCGCCTTCTGGCGTCCCCTCTCTGTCTCCGCGTTCGCCCTCCTCGTCCTCACCCACCCCATCAGCTTCTTGTCCCTCCTCCTCATCGTCATCATCATCACCACCATCCTATCCCTTCCTCGCCCCATATCTTTCTCTGCTGTCGCGCCTCCTCCCTCCTTCCTTGTCCCCGCACCCACCGGGCCCCTCCTCTCTCTTCGTTACCCCGTTATCTCTTCCTTCCTCCGCTTCCTCCTCGCTTCTACCCGTTACCTGCTCAGCGTTCTTCTCGCCAATTGTCTCCCTTGAGGATGCTGACCACCAACTACCCCCTGCACAGAGCGGCGGAGCTTGGAGACGCCGACCTCGTGGAAATGCTGCTAGAGGAGACGGCTGAGGAGGAGGAGGAGGAGAAGGAGGAGGAGAGCGAGGAGGAGGAGGAACGGGAGGAACAGGAGAGGAGGCGGAGAAGGATGAGGAAGAAGAGGAGGAGCAGCAGCGAGAGACGCCCGTCCTCCGCGCTGTCCTTGTCGTTGTCCTCCGACTCCTTCTCCCGTCCGCTCTCCCTCACCCCTTGCTGTCCGCCCGGGTCCCTCCCCTCCTCCCCTTCCCTTGCCCCCCACGTGTTCCTCCTCTGTGATCGCCCTCGCCCCCCCCCCGCTCTCCCCATCCCCGGTCAGGGAGATGCGCCTCCTCCTCCTCCTCCTCCACCTCCTCCTCGTCCTCGT